TCATTCGCAATCACTAATCAATAAATCACACCAGTATAATATGTATAAAAAATATTTTTCATATTTTCATTTGAAGGTTTTCATACGAATGTTGAATTTTTTCAATATTATAATATTTTAATCCTGAATCGCATCCCTAGTTATTTTTTTATTATTAATGTACTCGTATTGTAATGTCAACTGAACATAATATAACACACTACGTGCCGTCGGAATGATGTGAATAATATTCGACGGTCTGGCAAAAAATCGCGATGTTAAAAAATATAATGGTTTTATCCTTCTCGACGAACCTCGCAGGCAACACAACACACACGATCGCTAGCGTAATATTATTATATTGTATTATTGCTCGGACGCGGCTAAACGCGCACCACAAAATATTATTATCATGTACACCTCACAATCTATGTAAAAGCGTTTCGGGGTTTCATATTCTCGCTTTATTCGTAAAAGGATGTGGTACATTAGGTACATTACTGGTACATGTAAATATGTATACGTCCGTGGTTTCAACGAACCCTTTCCCGTATCAGATGTCGGCCTCATGTTTGGCCCGCCGCCTCGATTTCCGGTCGTCCCGATGGCACTGTGCAGCCTACCGCGATAATTATACCAATAATAATTGAAATTATTATTCGGTGTCGTAATAAAACTGTAACCGCCCCCGCGCCCTCGAGGGGGTTTCTTGCGGCCCATCAATCGTCATATTATATAATTAAGGTCGACTCCGATCGGAACAGTCCCCCCCCCCCACCGTCAACGCTTTACGTGATTTATTATAATATATTATAATACACCGTGCGCAGTTGCATTGTGCATCTGATTAAAATGCAACTATGGTAATGATATAATATGAATACGTCGACACGCCCGCCAAAAACGCATTATTATCTTATTGTTAAGTCTGCGCCCGATGGCACCACGATTGCGGTTTAAATATACGATATATCGATATTATCGACAGAGACAATCGACATTTAATGAATCAATTACAATTATTAAAGTGGGCTACGTCTTAGAGACAACCGCCTTAAACACGATTTAATGACCCGTGATTGGTCTATTCGATTTTAGCGAACCATTTAAAAATAAGTAATCGATTTTTGTTTGTGCAACTCGGCATACACGCGTATTTTAAGGCGGGTTTCCACAATATGCGTGTGCCGTCAAAAATGTCCAGTTATGCCCAACAACACGGTAACGTGGTTATAGTCGTGTGGTAACCTAACCCAAACAACCAGTCAAAGCAAAGGATTTGCATGCACGTATGCGCTCGCGTGTATAGTGGAAATCCGCCTTTACTCTTCTCTGTTCGTATAGGTATATTATAATATTATATTTTAAACCGTGACCACTATAGCACTGCTATCCATTCGTCAATCGCCGGCCGTCACATTTTTTATCATATAATAATTTTTTTCCTCCATTATAACATCGTTACATTGTAATGATGACGAACGGCGAGACAGACGTCTACGGGACGAAGGTCACGGGCGCGTGTCGAATGCTGCAGCCGTTACTCGAACTTAGGTAGTGGTATATGTAGGTTTGCAGGCTTGGTTATACACGAGCTCGCGTCTTGTGCGTACATACCACACCGGCTGCAGTTAATATTCGCATTTGCCCGGAATTCGATTGCAAAATGCAAATCGCAGTTCTATATAGACATACGTCTCTATCTGTATAGACTTCGTCGACTAATGCGTTTCATAATAATAATATATTATTATTATTATTATTTAAACGGTATTAGAAAAAAAATTGTGTTCATCAATATGGGCACCACCACGACCGTAAGTTGCGCGTTAGTAAACAGCTTAGTACCTACCTATGCTTCATTTATGAAATCGTGTAATAGAAAACACAGTAGGTTTATCATAATAATAGTAATGATATGTAATATGTAATAATAATATATTCATTCATACAGAGTCGTATTTTAATTTCGTCTACAAATATATTCGCTTCGAACCCCCACAATAACGCATATTTACAATTACGTAAAACCATTTCAATCGCACTAGAAAAACGATTATTTATTTCAACAATACATAACCGTTGGTTTATTGACCTCAACATAAATATATAATTTAACTTAATTTATGTGCATTTATTGAAATTTTGAGCACGACCTACTTATAATCGAAAATCGTACTTAACCGTACGCATAAAATATAAATATTTATATGAATTCCTATATTGAGAGGCGTATATATATATATATATGGCGATTAATCCAATCCTTTAAAAATTAAATTTTCCACTAAATTAAATTTGCCTTTAACGACGCCGGAATACTTTAATTTAACTTGATAAAAGTGTCGTCATTTTTTTTTTTTTATGATATCAAGTCATAATATATTATATTTTTAATAGTATGCATCAAATTGTTTTGCATTTACTTCATTAAAACTAATTTATTGTTTTTAATAGTTATATATCTCCATCATATTTATATTTTATTATTGATAATAAAAAACTATGCGTAGGTACTTTAAGCCTTTATTAAAATTGAAATCTACACATATGGAATTATATTTTTTATACCTACATTCATTGTATTTCTCATAAACTATCAAGTAGTACAACCATAATAGAAAATAATTAATTTATCATAAGAAATTAAATTGTTATGCATATTCGATACCAAAAACAATATTATTAATTTACATAATATGGTGGACTGATAGAAATATAACAATATTATGAAATTAAATTTCTCAACATATTTAAATTTACAATCACTGAGAGGCACCTATAATACACATACAATAATATGTACTCACGCGGGTGTAAGTGTGTGTGTTGACGTGTGTTTCATAGTAGGTAGGTTCATGACTCATGAGTTAAACTATATAATGTTATTGCCAAATTATATAATTATCTATTATTTATGTCTTTAAGATTTGACTATTATAAGATAGGTCATTTAGTGAATGAGTATTGTTTTATATATTTTTTGAACATGGGTGATATTTTAAAGTGCACCTCATTAAATTGTATTCATGTCTTAAATTTGTAGTACGCTCTTTTAGGTATTTAAATTAAACTTAATATAAATACACGGACATAATGAACATTATACTGTAATATATTTGTATTTGTTATAAAAATGCATAATTTATTCAAATTACTTTGCTTATTGAATAAAAATTGAAATATCTTTACTAGAAAAAAAAAATACGCGACTAAAGTTTGATAAGATTGTTAAATCTACAATGGACAATCTACTACATTGCTACTTTACAGATAATTTATTTGATTAACGACGTACAATATGTTTACATATATATATATATAAAGATACCTAAGTCTAGCACTCTAGCCACAATGTTTAACTCACACTGGAATAATTATATAACTGGTGCTAAATATATACTCGTATAATATGTAATACGTGTTAAAAAATAAAATAAATATGGAGCAAGGTCAAAGCCTGACAATTGTTTTATAATAATTGTATCCTTGAAATGTGAGCAAAACTATATAATTTAATCGTCAGCAATAACTATCATCGATGTTAAATGTTTAATAAAATACGATTGTCATGATATTCAGGAACTCAATCAGAGACAGAGAGACACTATAAGTAGTTTAGTGGTGCCTATAAGTACACTACAATATAAAAAGTACGCATAGGTTAGAATAATACCTATCACACAATTTTTTTTCAAGTTTGAAAATTGAAAGTCTCCACCACACATCGTGTTTATGTCGTAATGTTTGGTTGAATATGTGTAATGGAGAAATATGAATTCCATTCGAACTAAACTTTTCGTATTTTCCTTTCCAGAAATGATACCCCATAATATATTTACAACAATTTACTTGGCTGAATAAAAATGAAAGTCATAGGTAATATTATGTTAATTTTCGTGCTATAGTTATAAACACTAAAAAAGAATTTTATATTAATATTGTAGAAATATAGGATTTTTTTTATGACTATGCGTTAGCCTGAAGGGTACAACTTATCCTAGTTGATAAAATTATTTATTTTTAATGTATATGTAGTAATAGTACATTAGTACAGTGTTTGTACTTTGTAGTACATTATAATAATAATTATTGTATGTTATAAATAATAGTTTACTGGGTTCGATAAGTCAATAAACAATTTCTTCTAGTGGTTATTATTGCTTTATACCTGTATATACAAACAATACGGTTATAATATAATAGTATGATTAATTCACTGCACTGCACAGTGTCATAAATGCATAAAAAATATACTAACGACTGATCATTGAGATCTGTACCTCATAGGATATTAAACCGGACAATTAAAAATAAAACGATAAACAAATTAAGATGAAAATGTGAGGTTGGCATCGAAGTGGTGGTGTATTACACTACGTAGATCTGATATCCTTCGCCGGGCCCAATAATAGTGGAAAACAATTCAAACTAGGTCACAATAGCGACCGAGTCTCGTCCGCCGCTGATGCCTCAAGCTGGTGTTATAGATACGTACGCCATATAACTACGCTATTGGGTTACATGTATTCAATTGGAAATATAAATATATGATAAACATACATAATGATATCATACGCAGACACATTGGACATTAAGTATAGCATTTATGCGATAGTGGCCAACACTTTTCCACAAATATTACGTATGTCCATCCAATTAGACGGCGTCTAAATAAACAGATACCTCCATATAACGGGGCGAAAGTGGTCGTGTCCGTCGATTTCTTTTGACAAATTACACGGGCAATTTTGTTTTGATTACCAATTTTCATTACTATATTACGTCCTGTTATTATAATTGATATTAATACCGTTTTATTACCGGCGGGGATGAACCGTTTGGCCAATTAATCGCCCCGGGTGACAGTTACGCAGATTGACTGCACACCACGGCTTTGATCGATATACGATATTCTCCGAAAATGATGTTGTTTATCCAATACGGACGTAATTATACATTACGTACCCATCCTAAGGGTGTCCGAAGTAGGGCCGACCACTATATTTTTATAGTATATAAATTTCGGATCGATCGTCACTAGTATTATTGTAATCTGTCAGTTCGATCAGTGATCTTCAAACAATTTACGAGTATATTATCATACATCAAATAAACTTATCCACACAATGGCGGCCAAAGTAAGTATTATATTATAATTACATTATGTTTCTATAGCAATGCGGTTTCTAGTGTAGACTTGTGCAGTTCAGCAAAGTTAAATTCAACTTTTTTTTTTAAGAAATAAATATTTAAAAATGGCGTGTGGGACGGTAGAATGCTTTAGTGCTCGTGTATTGTACCACTTCGTGGCAATCCGCAATAATAAAAAACAAATTATGGTTTAACTAGGTAACTTCTGACGAAATGAACAAATAGCTCTAATTTATCGTCTTACTGAAATGGATAGGTACCTATTTTGGCACATCAATATTTATAAATGTATTTCGTGACTTGTTTTAATTTAATTTTTTTTTTTTGGGGAACATCTACAGAAAAATATATTTAAGTAAATGATTTTATAGTAGGTACCTATTCAACATAGTATTATTTTAAATTAAATATTAATGGTAGAATTGTTAGGTAATAAAACAATATTAAAGTAACGTCTAACGCACTATCTTTATGGTGTATAACTAATGTTTTTTTTCAATTTTTTTTTTATTAATCACTTTTAATTATAATTTTTAAGGAAATGTCAAACCATTAAAATCAAAATTATCAGAGTGGAGATCATTTCAATAAAATGTACATCATTTTTCTGATATTATATTATATTATGTAAAAAAAAAAATATATTACGAGGTCTTGAAAGTCTTGGCATGTTATACCTGCAATAAAATCGAGATTTTCCCTGCATACAGAAAATGATTAAATTAACAGTACATAAATAACACAATATTTGCCATACGTTTAAATTATTAATAAATACTAAATTGCAATAAAGATAATCTTTAATTTTAATTTTGAAAAGTGGTTTTTCATGAACTTTTATCAAAAATATCTAAACGTAATTAAATTATATAATACTTAAATTATCTACTTGGTAAAATCGTCGAATTTAAAATTATAAAACTGTGCATCAAATAATTTTGATTTAAAATCATAGAAATATTAATAATCGAAAAATACTAAATATAGTACACTTTGATACATACATGTATAATTCAATACTATCCATTAACTCGTATGTCAAATTTTAAGAATCATTTGAATAGATAGTTTTTTTTGTAGGCTTCAAAATAGTTATTATTATAATCACAATACAATTAATATAAAACTCTTATATAGTTAATATTATAACGGTGCCAAGATCAAATAATCAATGCTTTAAATCCAGTTTTTTTTTCAATTTTCATTAAAATACAATATTATTACAAAGTTAAAATAAACATGTTAAGGGCACGCCTTATTTTTTTTTATTAACAATGAAATATATTTTAAAGTAGACATAATATTATGTTTTAAGTAGGTATTTAATATACGTGACCGAATGATAAACCCTTCAGTTAGAGGACAATATTTGTCACAAACAAAAAAAATCTGTAACAAGGCCAAAACGATAATTATTATCGATTTCAGGTTTAAATTTTACTTTCACAATAACCGTACATATTATATTAGAGTTAACATTTAAATTTATAAAACAAATTACTTCATAGCAACAATTTTCAGATACTAGATTTTCTATGTTGATAAAATGCAATCATGTGCACAAACTATGAGTAGTGGTATTTTTAAATGAAAACCGCTTAGACATTTTTTCTCACTGTCCATGCATAAACACATAAACTGATAACACTAATAACTTATGAAAATAATTGCATTTAGCTTTAGTAGTTATGCGTATATAAAATAGTCGCTCATAAAAAAATTGCAACAGGTTGAAAACTAGTGGTGTTAACTAACCGGTTGGTATAGTGAGTATAATATACTGATATGTGGATACGTCACTTATTTTACTCAAACTTAAATATTATTCGATATCATGTTGAATTAGTCTATGCTGAAAATGTGATGGATTAACAATTTCATATCATAAAACGAGTTTATTGTGAACGGCTAATGATGATAATAGTGATTTTATTTCAGCGCAAGTATTTTAAAAAAATGGCTCAACCCTCGATACAATAATATTATGTTTTACTTAAATAATTAAGAAAAAAAAACACTTCAAGTCTACTCGATCATTCTTAATTATTATTATCATTTTGTTCATTTATCTGTGATATTTTTATGTTTGTAAATGTACAGTGTTGTATAATAATGCTCATAGTAGATGAAGTCAAAGTAGGTAGGCAATAGGTATAGTATCCTATATACATATCACATTGGTAGTCGGCTTTTTTCTTTTCATTTCATGCCGACTGTAACATACAGACGTCGGCACCGAACCGGTTTTCATGTACCACTGATATACATCTGTCAAAGTGTGTTGGTGTGCGCTTTCGTTTTTATCATTACGTTTTGCCTTAATAAGGTGGCTAATATTATGTTCTAACGATATTATATATCTATCAATGCAATAAAATATTGTAAATACATGGAAATTAAAAACTATGCAATTTCTTAAAACTCTGCTTATAAATTTAAGTTTTTAAATTTGTGTTGCACTTAATAATAATTATCAGTCTTAGTGCTGATTTAAATTTACCTTTTTTTGTTTGGTTGAATTAAATTAAATAATATATTAATGGCTAGTGTATTTATATGGGAATGAGAATTTCCAGCACAAATTTTTTTTTACGTAATTTGTTATAAATATAAGCCATTTAAAATTTAATCAGTACTTAGTATACTGTTATTGAGTTATATACTCGTATCATATGTGTTTTAGTTTAAAATAATATCAAATACAGCAAAACCACTGCTAGTTTATATTTCTTTCACTGGTACGTTCTTAGATCAATTTAACATTGCATAACTCTAATGTATCACTATAGTGATTAATTACATCTAAAAAATGCTATGTTATCTAACCATGGTTTATGAAAATACATAGGTAATGTATTGGTGTGACACAAAATTGCATTAAACACGAAATATATTATATATATGTATTTTATCTATGACCTATGTGGTTACTGTTAAAATTGTTTAAAATATTGACTATAAAGAGAAAATGAAATATGATGAATATGAAGATATGATGTTTAAACAAAATTAACACTTTACATTGTGGTAGTTAATATTTTATTTTCTACTTAAATGTTTTTAAATATATAGCCAATACATACAATTTTTTTTTTGGAAAAAAAATTTGTAGGCCTTAAAATTATAGAGAGTATAACACTTGCATTATAGTGGACACGAATAATAATTTTTAAATCTTAAAAGATAGACATTTATTTTATTTTTAATGTTTACAGGTCTTAATCATTGCCTGTTTGGCCGTTCAAGCCAACATCATTGCTGGATTAGATTGCTCACCTTCATATTCGTCCGGATATGAACAGAAGGAATATTCTCCACCATCGCATTCATCTTCTTCATACTCAGCTCCGTCATATGGCCCCAAGCCTCAGTCATATTCTGCTCCACAAGCATACTCTTCTCCTTCTTCATACTCAGCTCCATCATATTCTTCTCCAGCATATGGTAAATCACAAGCTTACTCTTCTCCCTCTTCATACTCAGCACCATCACACTCTGCTCCATCATACTCAGCACAATCACACTCTGCTCCATCATACTCTGCCCCAGCCTACAAGCCAGCTTACTCTGCGCCAGCATACACTGCACCCGCACACTCTGCACCAGCTTACTCTGCACCAGCCTACGCAGCACCAGCATATTCTGCCCCAGCCTACAAGCCAGCTTACTCCGCACCATCATACTCTGCACCAGCTTACTCTGCACCCGCACACTCTGCCCCATCTCACTCTGCTCCAGCCTATGGTAAGCAATCATCTTACTCTGCTCCGTCTGCGGCCTATGAACAACCAAAGTACCCTGTATCCCAATACTCAGCTCCTTCATACGAAGCTAAGCCACAATCATATTCAGCTCCCACTCCATCATACAACAAACAACCGTACCAATCCTCATCGGCCTACCCGTCTTACCCAAGCCAAAAAGCTCATGCTGAAGAGTCTTACGCACCAAGACCGTATAAATTTGAATACAGCGTAAATGACGAACATACATATGACATCAAAAGCCAAAAGGAAGAAAGTGACGGACATCAAGTAAAAGGATACTACACTTTGTTGGAAGCTGATGGTTCCCGTAGAACTGTCGAGTACACCGCAGATGAAAATGGATTCAACGCTGACGTGAAAAAAGAAGAAGCTCAAGGTTACAACAAAGCAGCTCCAGCTTACAACAAGGACTCCCAAGCATATAAATCTGCACCAGCTGCTTACAGCGCACCCTCATACAACAAACAAGAATCGTCATATGGTGCACAACCTTCTTATAACGCACCTGCGTACAACAAACAAGAATCGTCATACGGTGCTCCAGCCAAACAATCTCAAGAATACGAAGCACCATCGTACTAATTATTTCACTATTTATCAACTATGATATAAAGTGAAATAATATTACAACTCAACTTCAAATACTAAATTATAAATGTTGCAACTTAACTGTTATGCTCTTTTAAATGTTTAAATAAGAGTACAAAAGATTATTATTTGTATTGCTTTTTGAATAATAATGTGATTTAAAAATCTACCATCATATTTGTATTTTAATAAATATATGTTATTTCTAAAAAATTGACTTTTCTCGTATTTTTTTAAAAATTAAAAACATTAATTTTTATTTAAACAACTAATTTTATCAAACAAAATGTTAATATGATTCATGAATATTCAGTCGAACATATTTATGAAAAAACTTGTTTCTAATATCATTCTTATTGATTAACACTTCCAATTCATTGTATAAATTACAAATTGTAAAGGATTAATTGTGATTAATCCTTAATTAATAGGGCTGATATATACATACAGGGGAATAAAATCTATTCCGTGGAAATTGTATAAATATTTGAACTTTTGTTCGTAAATAATTTTAAAAAAAAATACAGTGTGCTCTTGACATAATATTAAAACAGTTCACGTTGTATGAGATATTATCGGAAATTCTTACAAAGGAAAATTTGCTGACTGTATGTACCGATACCAAGAAAAAAAAAAATGAAATAATGAACGTAAATGGATTTTTTTTACTACTCATCTGGTTGCCCCCGCAAATCTCTTGAGCTATGGCTTTGTTATTCAAATGACAGCGAAAACTGGGTTTGTCTCTCTATATATACGTATATAATAATATGATATTTTTTACACCATCATTTCCCTTTTAGCAAAGCATCTACGATACTTATTGTGTAATTTACACAAAAAAGTTTGATTCAAAATATGTTCTTAGTTTATAAAATAACATAAGAATCAATTAATAATGATAATCAATAACCTACACACTATATTATATTATTGAATCGAATTCAATTTATACCAGTGATATGTAAATAATATTATGAATTATTTATATTATGTAGGACCATAACTTAATTGGGTAGTCATATGGGTGGCATGACTAACCTATATTGAAATTGTTTTTTAATTTTTAGATCTTTTAATAATTAAAATTTCAAGCTTTATTATAAAAATAAAACAGTAAAATGTAAGTTGTAACAAACTTTAGAAATTCAAAAGCAATTACAAAAATCGTCGACATTTTTTTAAACTGGATTCACGTCTGTTATATAATATCGTAGGAGCATAGGTATAGATTAGGTTATACACTTATACGTATTTACTTTGAAATTAATCATTTAAAAGTCGTTGAAAATTGAAGTACCTATCTAGAGTTATTATTTTCTTGGTAACAATAATATTTTGTTAAGACTAATATTATGCCATCAAAATATAAAATATAAATTATTATTTGGTCGCTTTTACTGAAAAAATGGAAAATTTCTCAAGTATCATTATTCCACTAAACTAATGATTGGTGAACATAAATCGTCTACAAGAAAAATTAACACGGTAATAGGCAGAACATGACTAGAAAAAAGTAATTTAAAATCAAAAATAATCCTTACTTTGCTCAAAGTCATAATCATTAATGTGAATAAAAAGCAATAATTAAATTGAAATATGTTTTATTGTTTTTCATCTCATGAGTAGGTACTAGGTACGTCAAACAAGATAAAAATATAATAACTTAAAAGCCAATACATCCCGAATTAATTGTATTATAAACTATAACTTAATAACACCATTTGGTACAAGAAATTGTTAAGCTTTCTATCATTATTCATTATTTCTATTACTATCCATAGATAGTGTTGCATGATTTTGGTAACAGAATACATGTTATCCTTATGTAATAAAATATTACAATAGGTAGGGAGATACCTAACATTTTTTAACATACTTACTGGAATTCTTCTCCAAAATCACTCACGTAGTAACATATTATGACGAATTATGCTACATTTCGAACGTTCACCGTTTGATGACGTTGTACTATAAAACCCAAACAACAAAAACGTGCATGAAAAATCTGTTTGAATATCACCATTAATATCACTGAATAGTGTATACCAATACGCCAATACAGTTTTTCACAATAAATGTGAAATATTACATAAATTATTATTACTAAGTATTTTTGTTTATTATAATGTACAACTACAATTATTTTATACTCGATTTAAGTATTTAATAAACCAATCATTGAACTACAATTTAAAATATAATACTCGTACACTCATGAATTAACAAACTCCCCAGAATGTCCCGATTAACGCTTACTCACTAGGTAGGTATAATATTATATTATTATGTTAATTATATGTTTAGTGTTTACTACCTCATAGTTATTTGAAAACTGGATACTGAACATATAAATTATGCTGCAGTATTTGTGTAACTTATCATTTTACTATGTTCAATTTTAGGTAAAGTGTAATTTTAAATCAATGTAAGATAAATTATCAAAATTTAAAAAATTGTTACAAACGTATATTTAATACAATTAAACTATTTAAGTACCTAGTTCTAGTAGTATAATAATTATGATAATTTGTCATACGAATTTAGTACTTTACTCTATAATATTTGTATGTATTGCAATTGAAAACACAAATTCTTTAATATTCCAATACGTATTCTTAGCTATTATAATATGGTGTTTCTTTTTTCTGATATCCTGATTAATATAAATTAAATTGATTTTAATATGAATAAAAAAATATATTTTGTAATAATGAATTAATATGCATAATAATATCTAGTGTCGTATAATCAGTGTTTTGTATTTTTATTTCAGTAACTTTACTTTATTAGTTATAACTACTAATTGTATATATTTGATCGTTTTTAATAACTGTAAAAGACAAAGGTATGTTAATAACAAAGTGAATTTTGTATTATGGGCAAGAGGTATTGGTTTAGTGTTTTTTTTCTGAAAAACACTTGAAAGGGTAGTAAAAGTGCTCCAAACCGTTCTTATAGCTTCTCTAATATTGAAAAGTGAACACAGATGATGCTTCAAACAGATTATTTTTCTAAATTCTTAGTTTTAAAAATAATAAAATTATGGAAAATATGAAGCTTTTGGTAAGTTTGTTGTCAAATTGTAAAAAAAAAGAATAATCTAGAGAACACTTTTACGGAGACAAAAGTGCTTCATAATCTTTGTGTAGCATATATATCATTGCTTTCAAATTTAAATCATAATAACACCAAAACTGTTGGTGAGATAAATTAAATGATGATGAGTGATTCGAGTCATACGATTTGTGAGTTTAATCCAAACTAGATTATTTAGTTTTATATTTTCATATAAGTACGTTATTATGTATGTATAATTTTAATAAAATATTATAAATAATATCATAATATATTTCATAGTAAATAAAAATATTAATGACAATAGTAAATAATTCTCAATTTTATATTCAATAATTGTAGTTGAAAAACAATCCTCAAATTAGGTAAGTGTGTTCATAAAAACCAACCTACACAAGAATATAGGTATTCAAACAAAAAATGAAATCAACGGAGAAGTTATTGTTTGGTCTTGTTCTATTATTAGAGTAATTACATAGGTACCTATGTAACTTATAAGTACTATACAAAATACAAATTGTGAATTTAAATCTTGAATTTATGGATAAAAATATTAGTTTATTACACAATGAATAGCGTACAGCAGTTTTAATTGAATAAAATGTCAAGTGCATTCAAGTATAAGCTGCAGGGTTTCTTTCTCTAGCACTTTAATTGGATACTGTGGTGAGGTCCAAACTAACGTAGTTATACATTGACTTTTAGAAATATTTATAATATATTCTCATGTTGTATAATATGATACTACCAGTCAATAACCCATTACATTCGCATTAAAACTACATTAATGTTTAACGTCTATACAAGTTGAGAAAAATTACAGATGATTTGCATAAATTATTTTAATTTACTTACTTAAAAACAATAACTAGGCATTGCCGGTATTGGAAATATGAAACTTAAAAGTCATTATTTATATAGTGGTAGTGGTGTGTTATTTTAAATAATTTCTTGAAAGTTTTTAACATCAGTTTGATTTTGAAAATTGAAATACATAAATCGTATAGGTACTATAGTTTATAAATTTGGTGTATAATTCAAAATATTTTGTATGATAATTCAGTAAACAAATTTTCTGATTCTGGAAGTGGATGGGTCGCAACTGTCAATAGGTAGTAGGACGTGTGTCTGTCTTTTTATCGAAAAGATAAATCATTGCATACGAATAATGATTCTAAACAGAGAAGTGTTCAACCAACATCGTGCCAAATTTATCGTTAGAACTACCCGTGATTATATTCATCAATATTCATATCTTATGTATTTTTCTGATTTGTTCGTGAACCGCGGATAAATTCGAAACAGTTCGTCGCCATGGGCCAAAGTGTCGTATTACCTAATATATATTATATTATATTATACCATTATTAGCACTGTTAAGATATGTCTAATGGACAGTAAAGTTACGTGCTACATTTACTATCGAGAAAAATATCAGAGTGGTGCCGTAGAACATAGCACGCACGTTCCGCTCAGGAGCCAGGACCTACAAGGTATAATAATAATAATAATATGTTTATTAACGCCCATTAAGGTCAGTAAAGTGCACCATAACGACTCTATGGTTAAACAATTTACTCTATAAGCTTAACTTAAGGATAAGTAATATAATACAACTATACGTGTTTCTACACATTATATTTAATAATACAATCTAGTTAACTTTTATTTTTACTGAAAAATTAACTGTTGCCTACTGTATATTACATTATAACTACATAATATATTACCTATTAAATATTCAAAATTTAAGAGTACATTCTGAAGCTTAGAATCGTTACCCAAATCGAAGTCGAAATCATCAAGGCTATTACAAACCCAAAACATATAACATATAGATCCTTTAAATTTATATATTATGTTTATATGAGTGAAATGACTCATAAAAGTTATTCTTGAGCCCGATGAAAAAGAGTGATAATTAACCAACCTATTTACCTACACCACATAGAATTTCAGGGCATAAACATTCCAATTTTAAATTTCAAAATAACAGATTCGTAATTTAAGAACACAGATGTGTGATTATGAAATCATCTAACCAAGTTTGAATACATTTTTATACCTAATTGTTATCATTAGCATTTGTAAAGACTTATTTAATTATCTTCTAAAAATATTGAAAAACTCTAATTCAAGATGCAATCATAAATTCCTATTGTTACTCGTGTATTTTTTTTAAATTAACATTTTAACACATCTCAAATTCATCTAATTGCCAATTAAAAATTGAGGAAGAACCTTGGTGCGCTTACAAAATATAAGTCTTGCTTATTTTTTAATTTTGCATTAAGCAAAGAATGAATTAGTTTTATCGATAAATATACGAATAGTGACGTGGATAATTTCTATTTTTTTCAAAACAAATTGCGTTTATTGACAGACTTTTATTTTATAGATTTTTTCCATTTTTTTTTATTAATTTTAAAACAACAACCAAGAATGTTCGTGCAGTTTTTTCACACTGAATACTTTTGAGTATGGAGCATCGTCCGCATCGTGCAAAAATGAGTAAATTCTTGGATAATAGAAACACAATGAACATTTTTTTTTTATTAAATTTGATCGTTTTGCAATGAGAATGAATATAAAATAATCTGAACTCGGCGAGCTTGGTATCATTATACATAATATCACCTATATATGTACCTACGTAATGTACGAATGTTGGCGGCGTTGTCATTAAATTGACTTATTCAAAAAAAATGCCCACGGCACGTTGTTGAGGTACGAAATGAAATCTGGTGACTCGAGGCGGTCGGCTGCGGGCGATTAAGGAAAACGAGAGTAAAGGAGGTATTCATACCTTGTACCTATATACCTAATAATATAATGTTATACTATACCGTTGTACTCTTGACGTCATCGTCGGTGCCCCAAAGCTCTCCGACTATGCGGTTCCCATAACCCATAACGGTCTTGACCCGATTCGGCGACAATGATAACCGAGCTGACATTTGCTTCGTCAAAAGTCGCCCGCCGCATACAATATCGCTCGCCGCTCGCGTATTCTTTACAATATCATGTTTTTGTCACAGAATAATAACAATAATAATAATAATAATAATAATTGCATTAACCATATTCGATAATACACTACCGAGATGTTGGGTACATATTATTTTTTCACACGCTCACTACGCTCGAACACGTCATCGGCTTTGCTATTATTACTATTATATTATATATATTATTATTATGTTACCTATAATATTATATAGGCACACACTACGCCTAGCTATAACATGTCGTATAGGTATAATGTTATCGTTGTTATGTATTATTTACAATCGTTATTGCGGCCCGGACGTCGTACCGTCCCCTCTGGCCGGCAGCCCCGAGGGCTGTGGCTGCGGTCTGCTCCGACACTGGCGGCGGCGGCGTTGCACATAATATTATGTGAACCCATAATATGACGTGTGTATATCGCGCAGAGGTACCCCCACGCCGCGCCCGATCCGAAACGTGAGGTCCCCAACTTTAAACCTATATAAACCGAAAACCGCGTGGCCGACGTAATATTGTCCCATCTGACGAAGTGCTGTGAACTGGTCCGAACACGAGAAACAGAACATACCATGGCGTTCACTGTGAGTATAATAATATTATAGCGACACCGTCTTATTATAATACATTATTAACATTAAAATATCATAAACTTTCCGGCGTCTACGTAGAAGGCGTCTTTATATATATATAATATATTAGGTATATTGATTATTCGCCGGGTTGTCATTACGAATAAACATATTGAAAAAAAAAAAATTGTTAAAAATATATTCGACCGGTTAACGACAATTTTGGCAGCACATTTGAATTCGAATTCGATCAAACTCATTTCCTATAACGCAATGTTCTCGTTTTTATATCGATAGCTGATATCCAAATGAGTTCGATCTAAAAAACGTATCGTGTTGACTCATTAAAAAATGTGTTAACAGCGTCTTGTACGAGTTTTTCCAAGCTTATTTCAAAACATAACATAGTCAACATTGTATTTTTATTACTGAACGATTACAAATGATAGCGGTTTCCGTCATGATGTTGTTTCTATAATTACGTACACGTGTGTTATACCGTTGTACTCTAAAATTATTTACGCGTAATTCGGTTTATTTTGCATTTTTCATTTAATATTTTATTTTTCAAATACTAAACGTTCCATACCATCATAACTCAACCGTAACACGTTGAATTAGAGTTTGTATATTTTGTAAACAGAAAAATCAATTTAAAACGAAAAAACGAGATTTAAAAAAAAATCTATTAGTTTATTTTTCAAGTCAAGCCATATTGTTATGAATATTATCCTTTCCGAGAAAAAATTATAGATGCGGTCAAATTATAATGTACATAATTGCAAAATCAAGTGGCTTTTAACATAATAATCATCATACCTAGTATAATATGTAATTTATTCTGTACACAAATATAGAATATTTTTGTTGCTTTTATATTTCATTCGATTTAAATTATTCAGTCGTGATTATAAGCACAAGTGTTGAATTAATTATTTTTATTTACTTAATACATTATGTATGCCGATTAGATACAATGGACCTAGTTCCTATGTGTCATAACCCATAAAGTAGTTTAGAAGTTTATGTTTGAACAAGTAAATTTATGAAAAACCCTTTAGCGAACACACAACATAATATAGAATTATTAACTATAAATGGCATAATTATTTCTTTTAGATTATGGAATCACCCAAGTTTATTAGGGCCTTCTGCTGTTATGCTGTCAAGCAAAGCGTTTTAGTATGAAGCGAAATTAGATTCGGCTATACGTCGATATTTTTGAAAAACGAAGTGGTACTAATCAGCTTTTCAGTGAAATATTATACATAGGTATAGGTATAGTCTGTTATATTTTAAGACCAGATATCATTATATTCTGAAAGTCTTGAAGGTACTATAGTATCTATTATGGCTATAGCTATGGAACTACTTCATACAAAATTGAGCCAAATACTAGGACATTTAAAAAAAATAATTAATAACCCACGTTTGGTATCTTACTAAGCGAATATTGCATTGTGCAAGCGGTCGCATAGAGAAATGATCCAAGTGACACAAATACTCAGTACTCAGTATTACGAGATCTCATACTATATCTGCTTTTGGTTTCCAATAAAGGAATTTTCGCTCTCGATCCACAAATGATCAAACCACATAGACACAGAAAAATTCCAATACCATAGGTTCTATAACATCATATCAACCATTTTAATAACACTCCGTGGTATGAAATATAATTGTATGGAGTCTGTACCTACTTTGATTTATTTCCCAATGAAACAGTGTACCTAACAACGTGAATATGAACTTTAAAAGTTTTGCATTGAACCCTCGTCCAGTAGGTTTGTCTAAAGTTGTCTAAAATGTGAGGTGTTTACAACACTGTATTTAGGTATTTTAAATTAATGTTCAATAGGTAGTTGTATTTATAAAACGTGCGCAAGATTAGACCATGACGACAATGATGGTAATTCATTATTGGTGTTTAAACCTGACTACAATGTGGGCATAGTGCGTACACAATTTAATATGCATGACGGATCCGACCTCAATGATTATTTTTTACGTCTTTTGTCAACACGGTTACTTTTTCTACTGAAAATAGTAAACAACAAATATATTTTTTATAATGTGTTTTTGGTAACCTAAACGAAATTGGTTATTGCACGAAATTGTAGTTTGATTGTCCACAGTCGTCTTTTTTCGAATTACACTTGTATAATATTTCAACATAAAACGTTTTAATTTAACAATAGTGTATATAAAATATATTTATGTACATAAGCTTAAATATTCTTAAATTTAATAGACTATAAGAAATTAAACGTGATAAATTTAAATCACTTATTGTTTTATGATTTGTGTGTTTTAGATTTTTGCAGTCTCGGCATGTTTATTATTGTCCGTCGCCAACGTCACCCCCATTTCCGTACCATCGTACCCATCGCCATCGAGCTCGTCGGCTCCATCATACTCCCCAGCTCCAGCATACTCGCCAGCTCCATCATACAGTTCAGCTCCGTCATACAGCCCCGCTCCAGCCTACAAGCCAGCTCCGTCGTATAGCACAGCTACAGCCTACAAACCAGCCCCAGCATACAAGCCAGCCCCAGCATACAAACCAGCGCCGTCTTACTCCTCACCGTCTTACTCTGCACCATCTTACTCTGCACCATCTTACTCTGCACCATCTTACTCTGCACCGTCATACTCTGCACCGTCATACTCTGCACCATCTTACTCCGCACCGTCTTACTCTGCTCCGTCATACTCAGCACCAGCACCGTACAAATCGCAAGAACCCGAGTACCCAGCCAAGCCATACAGCTTTGACTACTCTGTCAACGACTACCAAACTGGAGATGTCAAAAGCCAAGCCGAATACAGTGACGGCAAGAACGTGAAAGGTTACTACAGCCTAATCGAGGCCGACGGAACCAAAAGGATCGTCGAATACACCGCTGACGAATACGGTTTCAACGCTGTCGTCAAGAAGGAAGGCACCCCATCGTACGCCCCAGCCGCTCCGGCTTACAAGGCCCCAGCGTACCCAGCAGCCCCGGCTTACCCAGCAGCTCCAGCTTACTCTGCGGCCCCAGCTTACCCAGTAGCCCCAGCTTACCCAGCGGCCCCCTCTTACCCTACCCCCGCATACTAACGAGTCCCTCACTATGACTGTTCCCCTATAACTATGTAGACGTCGCCTATAATAAATGGCAAACGATCGAATAATTATAATAATATTAATATATGTACGACTATAATAGTATGGATTTGTACCATCGTTGTTACACGGTTTTGTACAGCACGTAGGTACAACTTTTTTACGAGCTAGTACAAAACAATTATTATTATTATCATTTATTTATTGTATAAGTCTTCCTTATTTTTTTTTATGGTTTTCAAACTATTTATTTGTTACTTCTGTTTTTTCTACTCTAATAAATATTATAGAAAAATAAACTGTTTAGCATTTTTTTTTCTCTACTCCAAAATAATGCTGCAGTGAGTTTTTTCTTTTGATACACACGTCATGCAGAGTTATTGACGATTTGCATCGGCTGGTCGTAGAAAAATACCACTTGCAACGGCCGCCTGTTGTGATACACATACATATGCGTGTAATATAATAATGGTAATAATTACATTATAGAGGTGTACCCATCAGCGTAGGCGGTCGGAAAAGAAAACCGAAACAATAAAGTTTACGAAATCTGTCGTCATTGTGTGACAGCCATTTGTTTTAGAAAGGTTACGGTTATGGATAGACGACGGCTCTCTAGACATACTGCGGTAATAGCCTAAAACCACTCCATATATTATGATACGTGTGCACCATATACACGCATATTCGTATATTATTAAACTTACTATGTATACCTATATTGTCTAATTATTGCGTTCGGTTCGAGTAAAAAGAAACAATTACATGTGAATGTTATTATAATGAACGTTCCAAATCGACAGACGTATCATCGCAACTATTGCATTACAATTTACAGCATACACAATATGTCGGTATTAATCTGAGGCCAGCAACGACGTATTGATGTGATGATGACTATAATAATAATATGTAGATCTGTTAATTAAATATTAACATAATATTTATAAGTTTGTATATAGTATGTGTGAATGGCTGTGATTCTGGTCGATTGAACAGAATAGATATCCACGCAGTGATGTTGGATTTTAACGATAGAGACAAAACTAAATGTAAATTAAAACAATTTTACGTAATAAAAATAGGTTAATAAACGCATATATAACATTCATAAACGTAAGCATAAATCAATACATATACAGGTATAGAAGATCACGCCGGAGCAATATTTAAGCGAGCTCCGCCGCGCAATATTCTTACGCAAAATGAACAAAAATGCATACATGTAAACACACCCAACTCAGTAGGTTGAAGTGCCGTCGACCTAAGGTGCAACTTTTATATTTTCTTATTCCAAATGCATAATTGATGAGATCCCGTTAAAATGTATCTGTACTAATAATTATGTAATTATTTATAAAGATGGACAGCTTGGATAAATGTTTAGTAATCTTGGAAATGTATATTATGGCTCCATACGACCGTAGAGAATAATATTATTATGTATCATTAAAAATATTCAATCCACTTTTTAAAGTATGTTGTATAATACGTTCTATATACATCGAGCAATTATTGTTAAGAAATAAAGCATACCTATCGCTGCTATACATTTTATATTTTAAATGAGTACCTGTACTATAATATTATCGTTCGTTTTACAAATAATAATTATCACACTATTTTTCCATCGCATAGAGTTATAATTAATTAATATCAGAATACGACAGAGTGTAACAAAAACAACCGACAGATATGGTAAGCAACTATATAGCCACGTAGGTACGAAATAAATATAATTCTCTATGTATATTTTATTAGAAAAATGTTGATATTAATAACGAAAAAAGTTAGTACTCGGATAGTCAATTACACTGGTCAGTTATTCCTGTTACGCTGTTACCCTGTTGTAATTCTTAGATTTTATTAAACATATAGATTCTTGACGGACGTATTTAGAGATGGACACAAACAAAGGAGTTAATGTTTACATGCAAATTATAAATATTTACATTTTACAATACTATAAAATATAAAGTATTATTCTGAAATACGAATTTTATATCAGAAAAAATATATTATTTTTACGTTAAAATATTACATTATTATGTAAAGAAACTAAAAAGTCATTTAATTACGTGAACCGTTATCCATTGGAATAAGTAGGTACGAAAGTGTATGTTTACCGGTCGTGTTCGAATATGTATAATGTGCTATATAAGTAAATTGATTAATTGACGATAGGCTATTTGCATTTATAATGTTTTTATTTTAGTTTAGCTTTTTAAATCCCTTTTTAAAGTAGAAGAAATATCAATATTACATTTAGATTATATGGAATATTTGTGAGTCTTGTACATTAAATTTTATCATACAATAGATTATTAATGGATATTGGATGTTAATCTCTCAAAAGCGGTACGACTGACGAGGAAATTTGTCTAGGCATTTTATACCTATTCCTTTGCAACGCTGCGTTACTTAACTCAAACGACAAAGGGTTCAAAGGTTTCGGTGTTCAAAGTTCCAGGAAACCTGTACAAACATAGAGACTTATTTATGAGTTTTATTTTGTTGTTCGTATAGTTTTGTACGGCTCATTTAGTTTTCATTTTCAGATATCGTAGTATTTATTAGGTAGGTATAATATAACTATTTGCATTGATGTACCTAGTATAGAATGTATCCTATTTAATAGATTGAAATGAAAATAATATGAAATAAAATAGAATTTGTATGAATATTTCGGTAAAATAATAAACAATGGAAACATAATATGATAACTATTTATATACTTAAACTGTTACTTCATGTTTTCACTGCACTTAAATAACATTATACCTCTCTCGACTTGCGAATAGTCTTGTTATACGCCACTCCAATGAATAACTCGCTAACTTAATGTTATTTACCTGTATGTGCGGTACATTTTAATTTTATATAATTCTCTCATGGATTATTTCATGAAATAATAATAAAATAATACTTATAATATGTTATAACATAAACATTGACCAACTTGTTTGTAATATTCATATTAATTAGTGTGCGTGTTAATCGCGTTAATGTGGCAAAATTAATAATATCAGCCATCGGTGTTATTACCTATATATCAATTGCATCGCATAATATATAATAATTACAGATTGTGCATTCACATTTTGTAATGTATTTACAATTTAAATGCATATTTTATATTATATATTATCCGTCAAATACTACCAGTGTTGAGTACTAGTGATCTTCATTTTTCAACATTTAGGTTTAAACTATTAGCTGTAATATAGGTAATATAACTATAGTATCTTATATCGTTACATAATATTATTTATTATTTTAATTTTCTTGTGATTTATACGTATACGTTCGAGCAAAAAATCGATTGCTGTAAGCAATAATTATTAATTGGTACTAGTTTTACTGCTACAGTACTTTAATGAATTCTGGTTACATACTATCATCACAAATCACGTAGGTAATAGAAAATTAAATTGTAGATGAAGCGATAGTCATTTGATACACACGTTCAGACGTTCTATATTAATCTGCATCATCTGCATTGTTTAAAAACAATGTTTTTTTTTTTTTATTAGCTTTAAGTTTTACTATTACAGCTCAACAATTATATATATAAAAAAAAAACATTTTTAAATTTTATTAATGAATAAATAACAAACTATAATGTCATTAAACTTCCACAGAGTAATCAACCTAAAAATTTACTCTCCAGACTTACATAATTTAAACTTATGGAAATGATAAACTATGAAAATTAAGTAACTCGAAAGTGTAACCATTCAAATAAACTTAAACAACTTAATAGAGAAAAAAAGTAAAAATTTTGGTACCTAATGAAAGAAAACATTTGTCGTCAGTAATTGCTAGTTATTATTGATCAACACATAGTTATTAAAATACATTGTTGTTTTTAATTTATTATACAATAGTACGTACAATCAAATAATTAATAGTATATTTAATCTATATGCGGTATAGATTTAAGTTTAAAATGTATTGGAAATTAATCATAATAGGTAGTCCTCCCATCTCTTACACATTATAGGTAAAATAATAAATGTATGTTCAAGATTCACATCTATAATAAGATTCACAAAATTATACTTGACATTATTAAAAAATTATACTGGACAACGAGCGTAAACAATTAATATGATATAACTACCTAAATACAATATATTTATGCAATAACTAATTAATAATACAAGAGTTGAAAAATAACGAACAATTATGTTCAAGCACCTTTACATATTATACCATGCACGAGACGTTAGTAAAATTATAAATTACACTTTTAAAACTTTTTTTTTATTAAATTTCCTGTTGATATACAGTTAGGTACTCGAAGAAATAATTTATAATAAAAAACATAATAAATGTAATATTATTCATATTTTATTTTATTTTACCAGTATAATATGTACTAGAATTGCAGGTTTATGAACAGAGTGGTTTATCGCATCAATTTAAAAAACACTTAAATACATAATATTACATTTTTATAACATATTAATGGAATATTATCATTAATAAATATAAAAAAAATGTATCATACACAAAAAAAGAGTTGATTAAAAAATTATATAACAACTTCTATCGATGTTTAAATAAATATATAAAACATTTTTTGGAACAGTAAAAGTGTTCCAAAAATGTCATGTGCCATATCGCTTAATTGGAAAGGTTTTTTTAGCATAAGGGCGGTAACCATCCGTGTTGAATGTACGAAAAGAAAAATTTAATATATTATATAACCGGTTCTATATATTGTAGTAAAAACATAATGTAATACACAATGTTTAGCAAATAAGAAGATTGGAAGGGATGAAATCACAATAACCATTCAACATAAATACGGAGAATCTAGAGTGAACAGTATCAGTCGTACACAACGCAAATACGTACCTGTCAATAGCACCACACTCAGCTTAGTTCAAAAACCATCAACTACCAAAATACAAAATGGCCGTCAAGGTATGTGTGTTACACTTCGGTTTGAAACTTTTCTTACACAGATCGACCAAAATACATTTAAAAAAATCAATTTTTACAATAATAATAGCAATAACAATTTAACATTATTGTGTTTGTGTTCAACGAGACTGTTGAGTTACTTTTTTATACTTTCGACTGTTAGTAAAATACGTTTTTTATTTTCAGATGATCATTTTCGCCGCCTGCGTGGCCACCGCTCTCGCCCAATACGCCGCACCCGCTTACAAGCCAGCGTACTCAGCGCCCGCTTACTCAGCACCGAAGGCTTACGCCCCGGAACCCGCCTACGCACCCACACCGTACAACTTCGAGTACAGCGTAAACGACCCACACACCTACGATGTCAAGAGCCAACAAGAGTACAGCGACGGTAACGGATACGTCAAGGGATCCTACAGCCTTTTGGAAGCCGACGGTTCCACCCGCACCGTCGAGTACACCGCCGACGACTACAACGGTTTCAACGCCGAAGTCAAGAACTCCGCCCCTGCCTACAAGCCAGCTTACTCTGCACCAGCTTACTCTGCACCAGCCTACTCTGCACCAGCTTACTCTGCACCAGCTTACTCTGCACCAGCTTACGCAGCACCAGCTTACAAGCCAGCACCATACAAGGCGTACTAATTACTCTCCCTTATACCCACCCACACCCATCGACAGTCTCATCGTCGATCTTGACGGTCGTATAGCCGTCATATTATGAATATTCATCATCATTAATCACCGACCAAATATTATGTATAATAATATCATTTCATCGATGTGTTTATTTTGTAAATAAATAGTGAATTAAAAAATTCTGTATATGTATATTTTGCATTCATTTTTTTTATTTCTTAGTACCTTTACAGAAATATTTTTGGATATATTTACCTATAACTTATACAAAAATATTATTTATTATATTATGTATTACCAAACTTTATACATTATGAGTCAACATTGGTTGATCGGACTATATAAAAGCCAAATAGCTGCAAAATGTATTTGAATAATACACAATATGTTATTGTGGTAAAATACAACCAAAGTCAAGACTTCACTGATAACATTAGTAATAACACCATAGGTACTGCTGAGTATGGAAATGAAGATTTATGAGGGTTGTTTAAAAGAAAATGATAATTAATCATAAATTTCTATAAATTTAAAAATAATTGTGAAGGCTCATATTTTATAAATACACTAAAATCATTGTATTTACACAATGTATACTCAACAATAATATAAAGCAATTCATTATTTTTAAAAACATTGTTTTTCATTTATAGCGGTGTTGTTCGATATATGCTTTACCTTGATATTTATTTATTTATTTATTTATTTATTTATTAGAATTAAACAGGCGAGCCCAGTTACAATATACATGTGAACAAAAATGAAAAAATATAGTTTAATAATATTGTTTTTAAAAAATGCTATGAAAAGGTAATATTGTAGTATCGTATTTGAATTCTTTTTTAATTTTCACGTGTATATTAATATAATTTTTTTCCATATTATATTTTTGGCAGCCTGAGTGGAGTGTTGGATTTGTTGGTTTTACAATTAAGTGTATGTTTTTTAATGTATGTACCTATGTTATGTGTAGTAAAAAAAAGAGTAGATGCTTTGATCTTCGACTTTTGAGAGTGGTTTCTGAAAGAAAATTGAATCTAGTTGGTGAATTTGAGATTTCAAAATTGAATCTGAAGTTTTTAGTAATTAGAAAATATCAAAAATAAACCTTCACAATTTTGTTTTAAAACTTCTATATTTTGACAATTATTCTGTCAAATGTATATAAATAGATAAAAAAGAAAACAAATAATTTAAAAATCATAAGATTCGTATAAAAATTTGATGACAATTTCAAGAATTTTAATTAGTTATACATTTTTGAATTTCAATAAAAGAATTAAAGAAATTTAAATAAAGTTAAAAACTTAAAAGTTCAATAAAATTGTAATAAGAATTAAAGCTTCTCGGGTTCGTCAAAAGGATTTATTGTGAGTTTAAATTGTCTAGTTCTCTTAAGACTTTGTACTGCTCTTTCGTTCTGTCTGTGTTGGAGTATGGATTAATTATCTGGGAACCATGCACCATTGATGGTAGTTGCCAATTTTAAAGAGAACCATAGTTTTTGGTTCAAAACCTGTCGTTTAATATGCTCCAAATAGAGTAGAGGGCTTTAGGGGCCAAGCTCTCCAAGAAACTTCTTATATTCTTTTAGAGCTTATTCAGTATTATTATGGCAGGCCTTACTGCTTCAGCCTCCTCTTCCTCCAAAATCTCAAACTCTATTTACGCCTATGATGGAAAAAGTACGGTTACTGCTGTAGTTCTAATGAAAGAGCTAATAGAACGGGGTTAGTAAGTTCTAAACAATTGTGTTTTTTTGGCAATATCTAACAGATACATTTACTTTGCTGTTACAGTGACCTAAGCATAATTTCAATATGAACTACATGATGTAGTATCTTGTATTAAATTTTCAAGCTTTTTGGCCGAGCAGTAATTGATTTATTAATATTAAAATAAAAACTAAATACAAATCAAAAGTGTCAATAGTTGTGCATATTATATTTATAATAATTATATTACATAACACTATTGAACATCTTTAGTTTATGACAATATAGTTGTCATTGTTTATTGAATTGTGTTATAATAGTATTATAGTATCAAAGTATTATTAGTATGCAAATAAATGAAAAATAAAGAACTTAGAAATGGATTTAATAAATTAAAGATATAGTTTTGTAAAAATATGCTGACAAACTGAATGGAATACAACATTTATCATGAACTTGTTATCACTTATGAGTTATTATTGAATACTTATGTATATTTATGAACATTTGAAAGCTTAAAACATTATAAGTTATTATTAAAATTAAATTCGTTTTTAATTATTTTGGTATTTTAATTTATATTTAATCAAAATGTTCAATACTTAAATTAAATTATATTGTTTTAATTTAATTATTTAGAGTTCAGTGATGAAATAATTGATGGATCATTTTTTAGGATTGAATAACAGTTTAGTAACACTTCATAATATAATATAAGTGAACACCCACCATTGCATACACCCAAATTAATGTCTTAACAACACACAAAGAATGTTCTTTCTTTTATTTTTCATTCAAAATATTATAAGCATCGCATAATGTATTAGCACATATTATGGTATGTGATCCTTTGTTTCAAAGGTTTTTTATGAAATCGTTTTCAATAATAAACATAATACACACAGACATAGATAATTATTGTTTCTCTTTATTTGTTTGATCTTAACCCCTAAAGATAAAGTGGTTATAGAATATTATTTAAAATTATTTAAAATATTTATTTTTCATAATCATTTAATACGATTTTCTAATATTATTCCAAAAATGTACGAAAATAAGTTTGTCATAGAATTATGTATGTACGTTTTTGTTTTTGGTCAGTTTTAAAGATTTCCAAGTTTGTAAGTTGTAAGTTTTGTACTATTGAAAGTAAGAAAAATTTGGTAAGGTTACAAATTTTATCAATGTTGTCATAATTACTCATTGAAAATCAGACACGGCTGATTAGAAAGTTACTAAATATTATCATTATTATAAACGAATATATTTTAACTAACCTATTCATCAATATTACGTCCAATCGAATATGAAGTTTTAGTAAATCTATTCAAGACTGCCAAAGGAATACCATATTTGTATGGCATAACATTTAATGTATATGATGTAACATAAAAAATAACAGGTTGGCAAAATGCATAAAGATCGTCACATTTTGATTTAAATACTGCAAACTTGTTTGAGTTAATCCCTGATGTCACCTATGAATCATCCTATGAATCTTATATAGATTCGACGTTTTTAACGTGTCAAATCAGAAATATCAGCAAATGTATCTCATAAATTAATCAGCTATTAATATTTACGAATTACATATTCAAATTCTATACACGTGTTTGTATTGCAACACATGCATAACATACCTCTATGGTAAATAGTATACGTGCACTGCTGTGTTTCAATTACACCATTTATTTTATAATAAATCGAGTAGGTAAAATGTTATAATAATTATAATTTATCAAATACTGATTTTAAATATCTACACCGATAAAGTACATTTTTCTGATTACAAATGACACGTAGACTTAGGATACAAAAGTGTCTGTTCTGATATATAGACGGTATGCTAACGTAAAAGATCGACGAAACCTAAGCACCTAATTCGTAAAATACTACTTAAAATATTGGCTCAAGTCTAGGGCGCCGTCATCGTGGAGAAAAACAACCTCTCGTACGCCGCTGCTGCTAAACCAGTGTTGAAGCGGCGTTCACGGCCGAGCTCGTTTTTACACCTACTCGTATCGCGTGATTGATGATCATTGAATTTGTTTATAAAAATCACTAATGAATTAAAAAGTGAAAAGGTTGTTCTTGAATTTAACGAATGTTATAGTCACATAATATATACCAATCGGAACGATTATCTACGATTTGTGAATACTACCTAACATTGTATGGTGACATTAAAAAATATGATTGAAATTGATTAAAATTTTTATTTTTTTTTAAAAGCGGACTGCAAGTTATGCCATAAATAAATAATAAACAGTGTATGCAATGCCAAACGATCGGTTGCGAACCAAACGCGTCCGTTAGTACAATAAAAAGCCCGTTTCAAATATTATACTCAAGCGTTTTAGTTTACATTATTTACGATCATTATTCGTTCCACTCCGACGATGGGGCGTATCAATTAGTTTATTTTAAACAAATCGTGAATGTGAACAAATTAATTTTTTTAACGAACTTGAGCCATATTTACACTATTTAAATTAAATGTGTTAAAAAAATGTAAACTGCACGGGCGTCTCCGCCTCAACCGGTTCTTATTTGACGTGATACGGTAACTGCCCAAGAATACATTGTTCACCATGTACCGCTGGAAGGGATGCAGCGACAAATTTTTAGCTTAAATACCATGTCTCAGGTCTCCATAATCACCAGTTCATTTCTGTACAGTCATAGAATACTTTGACCAAACAAAAAACAAACTAAAATGGCCGCTAAGGTGAGTTCAGATTATTGTAACTTAAAATATTGTAACATTTGCTTTTTTAAATGAAACAATTTTAAATTTTGAACCATTATGGTGATAGCAAAAATGTAATTTTGTTTTTTATTTTTATTTCACAGTTCATCATCCTCGCCGCTTGCGTGGCTACTGCCCTCGCCCAATACTCTGCCCCAGCCTACAAGCCCGCTTACTCAGCGCCAGCTTACTCAGCACCAAAGGCTTACGCCCCAGAACCCGCCTACGCCCCAGCCCCATACAGCTTCGAATACAGCGTAAACGACCCACACACCTACGATGTCAAGAGCCAATCCGAATACGCTGACGGCAACGGTTACGTCAAGGGATCCTACAGCCTCTTGGAAGCCGATGGTTCCACCCGTACCGTCGAATACACCGCTGACGACTACAACGGATTCAACGCCGTCGTCAAGAACTCCGCCCCAGCTGCCTACAAGCCAGCTTACTCTGCACCAGCATACTCTGCACCAGCCTACGCTGCACCAGCATACTCTGCACCAGCCTACGCCGCACCAGCTTACTCTGCACCAGCTTACTCTGCACCAGCCTACTCTGCACCGGCCTACAAGCCAGCATACAAACCAGCATACTAATAACTTATTTTGTCATGTGAACCAACTCTTCTTTTCCTCTTTATTTCATGTCACTGACATGAAGTATTCATTATTCACCAACTATTTATATCATCGTTGTATTTATTTTGTAAATAAATAGTGAATCAAATTGAATCAAGCATTTGTTATTTTTTTATGGTTTTATACACAGTTTCAAGTATAGTTTATGTGAATATATGCATATAATATGCATCCGAATACCTATATTCGACGCAGCTTAAATAGCAATAGATTAAATCTATTTATTTATTTTTACACATATTTTAGAGTGGAATAATGTGGGGACTGAAAAAATGGCCTAAAATAATTGGCTGTTTATAGAGAACATCTTAATAACTATTTATTGAAGTTATTATTTACTAGTTCTAGGTAATTTTAAAATTATTTAAGTATGAAGTTTTATGTTTAAAATTTTTTCTTTGGACAAGTTTGATAACGATTCAAATTGTTTACTTTAATTGTTTGGTCTTTATATTTACTATGCATATTTATGTTAATTATTTACCTGTAGTGGCTTTTTACATTTTTTAAATACTTACCTGCCTCTTATTAGATTAGCCTATTCACTTAAGGTATTTTTCGTGCACTACGCTTATTGTTAAATGAAAATAGCCTCCGAATCGATTATCATAAAATCTGAAGAAAAGGTTGGTTTCAAAAGTTATTTATGTTTAATCATCTCGTATATTATATATGATATCAACTAATTATTCATTACTTTTTATTAAATATGTGCCTTTTAAAATGAGCTTTGTCTCTCACAGGTATTTTTTGCTTGTGCCATTATAATGTATTGTGTTACATAAATCATATCCAGTGAACCAAAATAACTAAAAAAAAATATATGCTAGTGTAACGAAAACGTGAGAACAACGTGGTAATTTTTTTATTAAATTATTAAATGTAGTAAGGCGAACTTTAATTTTTATTGCATTGTTAATTTTTGAATTTCCTAACTTAACGTTAGGTAATTATCCATTATATGATGTATAACATAGGCGTTGAATAATAAATAAGCCTTTTTGTGTTCATTCTTAATATATTATACAATTTTGGTATAAACTTAAAACTAAGGTTCGGATTTGGAAGATGCTTTTTTTATAGACAATTATAGTAAGATAATTCTTCAATACAAATATACTTCATTTTGATTAAACTTCGTTTTTGCATATTTTTCTCCCCTTTAGATACCTCGCTTTTCACTTTTTTTTTTGATACTTTTTGTGAAATCAATAATTTACCTTTATAATTGTTTACCTACTACATATTATGTACGGTACAAATCAATTAGACATTGTGAAGACGACGAGTTTAATATGCGTTATGTTTTAAATAATACATTATTAGTACATGTACTAGAATGTACTACATAACTTGTCATTATATCGCTGATGTACGTATGGATAAAGCATTTGTCAGCGTTAAGTTTATTGAGTGTTTATCAAATTACTTATATAGTTATAATATTATACTCCCTATAGTGCCTAAAACTGTTAAAATGTGTTATTACTTATTAATAGCTTGATTAATTGATGGAAAGATATTATTTTTTTAATTCCTCTGGTTCACTTAAATACTTTTTTTCACGTTATAAAAATTTTTTTATTAAATTTATATCAAAATATAAACCCCAGTAATAGTACCTTAGTTTTAACTTTTATTACCAAAAACAATGTTAGTTGGTATTATTGTAGATTAACAAAGATCAAAATTCAATACACACCCATTTAAAACAAATTATTGAATACTCATAACTAAATGCATCATACTGAATTTCTATTCAAACGCATCAGGCGCACATTGTTAAATTATGATGCATTTATTAAAGTTTATAAAAATCTTTAACTTAACTAGACTATTTGAAACAAATTTTTTTTAGTATAACAAAATAATGCACAGATTCTAAATATAGGTAACAATTCTAAAAAAAATATTACTACTTACATACGAAACCAGTCCGTATATTTTATTGATTACCTACCTATAGTGTACCAAAAAACGTCAAGAACTGCCAAGTATGGATTGATAGAAAAAAAAACCATCATTACTTCTATTCAATCTGCCCTAATTATGTTTCAAATATATTTTAGTTTCTCGACTCAATAACAACTTGAATCTGTATTACATTTTAAATTTAATATTGATATAATATATTCCTACAATAAATAATCAGAATATTTTTATTATTATAATAAGGTAATATTGATAATTATTCTATTATTCAAAAGTGAAAATAAATGACTTGACATAACAGTTTTGTCCAACGTACTAACGACCAATGAGGACTATTTTACTAATGCGTTCTCAGCTGCTTCGATCATTTTCAATTTTTTTCTACATTTAAACTGCGAAACGTTATACAAGTATTCAACTAATAAGTAAATGTATAATAGAGTGTTATTATTAGAGATACTGCATATATCATATTATATATACGTATATATTATCAGATTTTGAACAGAAACATATTTTTTAAAAAAAACGTACTAATAGTTTTAAATTAAAAAGTGTTTTATATGTCAACAATGTGTATAATAATGTTAGGAATATAATTTTTTTCATAATAACAAAGATGATTTAATTTAATTTACATCTTTCACATTTTTAAATACCTATTATACATAAGACAAATTAAATTATTTTATCATTATTGAGCTTTCATAAAACTTATTAACATGTGATGATTAAAATGGGTGATAGGTATGCATGCAGTATACCATTTACCATTACGGTAATTGTTATTACAATTATTTATAATTAACTATTGTTAAATGAAGAATTACTATAAAATGATCAAAATATGTATCCTATAACTAAGAATTAATGTTATCTACATACAAACCATAATAATTCAACAATCATACCTATTTTTTTCAAATTTAAATTTTTTAAATTTTTTTTATAACCAATGCCTAAAGTCCATGTAAGGAGTGACCTATAGCACTATTGCAATACCAAATTATTTTTTAAAAATCAGATGCACTTTTTATTGTTAGGTTTTAAATTTTAATCAGATGAATTGTTGAAAAATGTTAATGTACAGAAATCAAAATTCGAAATATTAGTTTTTGAATTACTCTACTTTGTGTACTAAAGACAACAAGTCCATAATACAAGGAAGAAAGATATAGGGATTATGATAGTTTGAAAATCAAAGGCAAAGTACCTATGTATCTGTTTTATGATTAAAGTAAAAAAAATGGGGGTACCTAAATATGATTGGTGTATCAAAAAAAAAAAATAAAATAAAAGCGTTATTTATTTAAAATAGCTATGGCTAAGACACACGATTTTTATCTTAACCCGATATTGATATGTTTAATCATATTATACTATTAATATTATTGTTGATGACTTTTTTTATTTTTTACAATTTAAATTATGCTGAACTAAATTCCAATATAATTAAATTTGTTTTATGTCAATCATTCCCTAATATCGTAAAAGTGACTATAAAATAAATACGTATATTTCGGTTTTTATTTGCTTGAAACAGTTGCAAGTTATAGTGTATTTAAATGTACGTATAAGTCTGACGTCGTAATAGCATATAGCGAATAAAAACATATATGTATACAGTTAAACAATAATTTTGTGGAAAGTATATAGGTGTACCACGTACGTAGGTTTGTACATTTTTTTTATTATTTACACTTATAATAAATTATAATTATTGTTCAACCGAATTTCCATAACAATATATTATATCGGTGGATTATTATATAAGATCGTAAGTATGCGTTGTTATAAATAAATAAATGTATATACTATATACCTATACTATATATACTATATAGTTTATATATTAAAACACGTAAGCAATAAGAATAATAACAACGAAAAAAAAAATGCTAATACGACAAATGTTACCATAACATTTTGATACGCAAACAAACAAATGAATTATAATTACGGTATAATCCTTCTATAATAGGCACCTAAATACTCTACTTTCTCTTTCGTAAATAATGCGGGGCACAATATTATTGTTAATACTACGCATTATTGAAATATTAAACACGACAGTATTTAAAACCCTATTATGTGGTAATACATCAATATTATATTATAATACTGTGCATTATCTACCTTCCAATTTTCTAGTGGGCCATCGGCGTGGCAGATATTGGTGGCCATCCCCGCGACGATCGAATATTTTCAAAGACGTTATTGTCATATTTTAAATTCCTCGTTGGAATGTATGTACCTATATGCGCAACACGAAAACGATATTACCACGGGATATGAATGTTACCGTAACCATAAATTTATGACCAAACTAATTAAAAAATATATACATTATATTGCACGATAACATTATATTATTATGTATAGTTGCCTCTACGTGATAATAATAACATTATATTATTATGTATATTAACATGTTAATTTCATCATTACAGTAGATTTTTATTTACTACAACACGGGCGGATGGTTGCAGTAAGCATCAAGATTTAGTATTTTTTTTTTTAATTATCAGACACATTAATATTGTGTATCGTACATAATATTACGGTTGCAATTCGTTGCATTATTATTTTTCGGTTCATATATTCTAAATATCGAGCGCGCACACGGCGGCGTGCGTGTAATATTTCTCCCCGAGGCGGTCGTACCGCGCACGTAATAATTAGGGTTAAAAGAAAAACATCGTAAACCGCCTTCGCGCCGACAATGAAGAAAATACAATCACGGTGACAACGACGTATGTAGTGCGTTTGTAATATAATAATATAATATAATATATAGTAACTCACGTGCACTCGACCTATATATAGATATAAATATTGTATCAAAACCTGTTGTTTGGGAGTGGTTTTTTAATGCGTTGGACCAGTTTACCAGGTGAAGGTTCTCTCGTATACGCGTGTGAGCGTTTGTGTTTGCTCTTGTTTATTATTATTATTATTATTTTTTTTCTTTACGCCATATTAGTATTTTTGCACACCCACGTACGGTAGCAGCACGCGTTACGGTCTGGGAGGGATTATTTGATAACCCCCTAAACTTTTAGCATAAATACGGTCGGCACAATCCAAACATCACTCAGTTCATTCCATAAACTTCAGTGTCTAGTATCTCAACAGAACACAAACACACTCACAAAAATGGCCGCTAAGGTAAGAAACATAGACCGCGTTACAGTTATTCAAAATAATATTTCAATCTTAAAATATGTTCGGGTCTAAGATAAAATGTGTTGTATGATTCCGTATTGTCGATTAGTTTGTTTTCAATTTGTACGTCAACCGAACTTTATTGCGATACATTCATATTTAAAAATTAAAATGTCGATCACTTTTATTCATAATATAACAAGTCTCTTTGTTTTCAACATTATTTAATTGAAAGTACAGATCTTTTTGTTCTCGTCGTCGTCCTATATTGATTAGTTTTACTGTTTGATAATATTTTTATAAAAAATACAATTTTTTTTTCGTTTGTTCTAGTTGATCATCTTCACCGTTTGCGTGGCTTCTGCCCTCGCCCAATACTCTGCCCCAGCCTACAAGCCCGCTTACTCAGCGCCAGCTTACTCAGCACCCGCTTACGCAGCACCAAAGGCATACGCCCCAGAGCCCGCCTACGCCCCAGCCCCATACAACTTCGAATACAGCGTGAACGACCCACACACCTACGATGTCAAGAGCCAATCCGAATACAGCGACGGCAACGGTTACGTCAAGGGATCCTACAGCCTCTTGGAAGCCGACGGTTCCACCCGTACCGTAGAATACACCGCTGACGACTACAACGGTTTCAACGCCGTCGTCAAGAACGAAGGTGGATACAAGGCCCCAGCTTACTCTGCACCAGCCTACAAGCCAGCATACTCTGCACCAGCCTACTCTGCACCAGCCTACAAGCCAGCTTACGCCGCTCCAGCTTACTCCGCACCAGCCTACGCCGCCCCAGCTTACCCAGCACCAGCATACTCTGCCCCGGCCTACAAGCCAGCATACAAACCAGCATACTAAACATTTCTTTAGTCATGTGATCCGACTCTCTTCTTCACCTCTTTTTTTCATGTTTTCTTCGTGTACCTCTGGGCCATCGCGTTCATATTGAACCGTGGCTGCAAAGTCATACCATGCCATATTAATATAATATAAGACAATGGGTACGACTAATGTATTTATTGTGTAAATATATATATCAATGTGTATTTATTGAATATCGCTGTGTTTTGTTTATTAGTATCCATCCTCATCGCTTAACTGTTTAATGTTTATGTTGTGGTAATATTTTAATACTACACGTCTTCGTCCACCAGCATAAGGTCTAAAAAGCATTTTCGTGACATTTTGGTACTTTTACTGAATTCGTGTATTCAGTGTTCAACAAATAAATGCAAAATAACTTGAAACTATAGGATAAAGTTTAGTTTAGCGTATATTATGATGTTTGTTATGCTCATATGGAAACTAAACTTTTTAATCTACCATGAATAAAATATTACATAAAATGATAAGTTTAAGTACTTACTTATTGAAAATGACTTAAATGAAAAGCACAATGTTCATTAAACATAAAGTGCATTATTAATTAAATAATGAATAATAATTTGTACTTAGTATTATGAGATACAAATGTCAAATAAATTGCATTATGTAGGTATTTATTTTGTTTATTCACTTGAAGTTTAAAAATAGTTATGACATATTGATAGTCAATATTTTTATAACTTTGAATTTAAAAAAAAATGTTTTTAAGAACTTAAAATAATATATTATACAAGTCATAACAGTATTGTGTAGTAGACTGTAAGAATTATGTTGCATTGAATTATTCTCGAACAAAACTAGTACCGTTGCATATAGTGAATGTATACGATTACAATTTATTCAGGATATGCTTTTCAATTGGAAACCAATAAATTATAATGTGTAGTTAATTACATTTCCATAAAATGTAACTTCCGATACAATCAAGTTATACAAAATATATTATGTCCTTTATAAATAGTTGTAATATTATATGGTTACTGGTCAGTTAAGACTTAATATTTTTAAATTACAAACTTATAAATGGTAATAAAATAAAAATTTAAAGCATATATATTTCAATATATTAATTTATGTATTATGGCGTGTGGTGTCTACATTTAGTTGCTTACAAGTGAGAGTACTCATCGGATAGCGTTGCTATCTTCCGGATGAGTGACCACCTGGGATTTTTAGTAGTAAAATCTTACATACAGTACGTGTTTCAAACCAACCGTTTTCTATCACAAGCAGCTAAAGGTCATAGTTTCTGCGCTTTGGATCAAAAAAAAATATCCATTATACATAAGTAGAATAGTTTTGTTATATAATTTAAGTTTCAGCAAAGTTTGTGTCTTTTTTAAAGAAATCGAGTAACTAAAAAGTTATGAAGATGGACACCTAGCTACTATGTCTGTAGCAAATTTTATTACTAAATGCATATACAATTTTAATTTTGTAGATATCAATGATATTATTATTTTGAATTAGAACGCTAGCTATGTACTTAAATCTCACAAGTATTACTTTATTTTTCACTATATTTGATATTGTTCTTATTTTTTAGGAATTTTAATAAAATCATCATTTAAATACTAATTTATTTAATTAGTTTCAAACTAGGTAATAATTATTGTTGCATAACAATATAATTATATGCTACATTTTTGTCCTAAATGGGCAAAGTAAGAGTAGTTACACGATTGATCAACATTGTCTCCGCCTTGTGCACCGTATATAGGTAACCGGATTAGAATGAAAAAATATTTGATACTTAAATTTTAGACGATGTCAGCTCATTGTTTGTTTTCAGTCTCCAGCCCACTCACCACATAGACAGACGCATTCAAGCAAAACTATTTTTATTACATTTTTGAGTAATCGTTAAATAATATTATAACAAAAATTATAAAGAATAATATTTTCAAAGGTATGAAATAATATTGGTTTGTCAAGGTTTATATTATCACAGAACACCAATTAAATGTACGCATATTTTTACATCTTTTTTTAAAAGCTGAATATAAAATATCCAAATCCAAATAAAATATATAATCGATATGCCAAACTCTCAAAAACATTATCCTCTATAATTATTTTTGTGTTGGGTTATTTTACTCGTTATTGGTACTCAAAAATAATAATAAAAAAAAACAATCTTACATGAATCTGTTTTATCTATGTTGCACTTATTGGTCGGGGGGAAAACAATTTTCCTTTCCGTCCCCTCTACCAATTAGTGATTTCGCCTGTCACATCGTAAAGTTTCTGTTAAATTTAAGTCGAAACGAGGTACCTAGAAGCATATAATGTTTTAAAGATAATACGTAATGCACAATTTTCGGATCCGCATTTTGGTCTATTATTCATATTTTGTAAACAGATTCTAACCAATCCCGTATAAATTCCGTCTTGACTAATTCTATAAGTGATTACACTAATTCGCCCACACTAACCTATATAGTAATGCTATATAGGTACCTATTATACACATACGCATATTATTATTATTATTACTTAATGACTAACGCGTGTATTATATTATACATTATGATTATTTGATATCCATTCATCGTCATCATGCTCGTACGTACTAATATTACACAATAGCAAATTATACAAGCGCTGCACATTACACTCGTTTGATCACTCTGAGGTCATATTTCTCATAGAGTTTGTTTGTCTTATAATATATTATATCGTTGCGGGTCGGTAGCTGGATCGCGTCGAACTGTTATTTTAAAGAAAATGAAAAAAAAAAAAACGGTCAAATATGATTGACGCCCAACCGGTATATAATAATACATAAATGGGGCGTAAGCGATATAGGTAATATAGTGTCATTATATATACATTATCGGTTGTAGTCGATACGACAAACTATATAATATTATATGTTGCGAATATAACACAGCTGCTCACACAGACGCATGTCTATAACACGTTAGCCGTTACACTTTTTTCTCCGCTATGTGTAGCGCATGGGTAATTTATATGTATTATGTCTGTGTACAATTTTTTTTTAAAATTAATATCACGCGTGAATGGTGAAGGTACGTCCCATGTACTGCTGCTGTTCTTAAAATTTAATTAACAGACGCAAAGAAGTATATCGCCCCGAGTGACAATATTACGGGGCGTGAATGGTACCATAAAACAAATGGAGGTGTAACAGCAATGTGTAATAATTGTATCGTTGACAACAATTTATTTTTTGTAAAAAATACATCTGCAAGCTCTAAAATTAAAGAGATCCATACGATGAAAAAAAATAATATTATCAGTTTTATAGACGTTGTGTCATATTATAAAACACAGTCGACCATCTCTAACATTTTGTAGTTTTTGTTTCGTGTAAAATCGTAGGGTAATCAATTGATATTATTATGACATCAAAAAGTTATTTACGTACATTATCCAATACTTTAATAGTATTACAATACGAATACGTGTTAAACTGTTGAAAGTTATTAGATTGCATAACTTATGTTCAAAAAATATTTTTTTACAAATATATGTCGTTGATCATTACACTGTACCCATCACTGCCCATACGTTTTTAACCAAACAGAAATCTTAACCGAAAAAAGTTTCCAAATGCTGGTATTTTATTTAAATACATTGTTTGAGAAATATCCCATTTTTCTACATAGAACAATTTACTGTGCGAGAAAAAGAAAGTTGAGATGCACAAAAAATTTATACAGGCACAATAAAGTCATCAAAATGACTACTAAATAAGTAAATTAAAATCGTAAATTATTATAATATATATTCTCTGTATGTCTGCATAATATCTACTGATTAAATTGTAGGAAGACGTCTGGGTAAACGTTAATCACTTAAATTATTGAAACAATTCACTTACACTTGTGGATTAATTTAATTTACTTATATATTGTTACATGTATTATACAAGATACTATATTTGTATGCAAATGTGTGCTCCTTACATTTTCGCCCCATTTTTTTTGTGCAAGAATGATAAAAAGAAACACTTGAATGTATGGTGTCATTGTTGCATAATATGTCATAATATATTTAAATTATACATTCATGATGTCTTATCGTCAAACTGTAAGCAATTCATAAATATTAAATTGGCATTTGAAAAATATTTTCTTTAATAAGTTTTCACCTTTCCTGTCTTTAAACGTGGAATTTCTGTGTATTTTTTAATGTCGTTAGATTATGCTACATATACGTCAGGACAACATTAGTCATTATTCCATAGTATTAATGTGTATACACTTAAGTTTTCTAATATTTTAGAGCTAATGCTCTTCTAAGATGACTTTAAGAGTTAATCCTTTGGATAAAGTTTTTTCATTCTATCACAATAATAGTTTTTATGTGTAGATTTTTTCTACGAATAAAAACATTATGCAGGTAATAATCTATTAAGATAAAAATAATAATTACCTAATAACTAAATTCTGAAGTATAAAGTGCGTTTATGTTAGTATGTGTGTGTTAAATTATTTAAATTGAATTGTCATCATATACACGTTGATAATAGCATTTATAAAACTCACAATTTTAAACGCACCTACTTTTAAAGACATAAATAATATTTTAAATATTTATAAGCTATAGATGTTACAATATATAGACTGAGAAAATGGCTCAATGCATTACAGCATCCAATATTTTATTTTATTCTGTGTTTATAGATCAGATTACTTAATTTTACCCATATTTATAAGGAATATAAATGTTTGCAATATTATACGTACCTAACAAAAAATACCTTTATGGTACGACCGGTTCGTGCGTACGTGGAGAAATAAAAGTCTGGAGGGACAAGACAATGTGTGAGCATTCGACATAAATACAGAGACGTTGGAGACACCATTTATCAGTTGACAGTTCTCGTGATAATTGTAAACGCACATCTTAAGTCTACCAGCACAAACAGTCATTACAAACAAATTACAATGGCTGCCAAGGTATAGTAAAAACTGAAAACAATTTACTTTTATAAGTGTCTCAACACATTTTAGTATCGTCAGAATAGATTCCATCTAAGATTATTATGTATTATTTGTATGTTCGTTTTTGTGGTCAGGTATTTTCACATTAATGTATAATACATAAACAGAATGAATTAACAATGCTGTAATTGAATAGAATATCGTTGAAACATTGTTGCGAGTATTTTTTTACAATATTCAATCTGTCATGATCGAAATCGAGATTTAATTCACTTTTTGTTTCAGATGATTGTTCTCGCCACATGTTTATCATCCGCCCTGGCCCAATACGTCGTACCGGCTTACCCAGCGGCGCCCGCCACTTACCACGTGTCACCCGCTTACCACGTGGCGCCCGCTTACCAGGTGGCGCCTGTTTATCACGCAGCACCAGCTTATCACGTGGCACCTGCAAAGGCATACGTGCCGGCGGAACCCACAAACGAGCCGACGCCGTACAGCTTCGTGTACAGCGTGAACGACCCGAGCACTTACGACGTCAAGAGCCAGGCCGAGTCCAGCGACGGTAACGGTAACGTGAAAGGCTTCTACAGCCTTTTGGAAGCCGATGGTTCCACTCGCACCGTCGAGTACACCGCCGACGACAACAGCGGGTTCAATGCCGTCGTCAAGAAGGAAGGCGGATACGCTTCCGCCGCTTACAAACCCGCAGCAGACAAGCCGTACTGAGAGCGAGAGTGAGGGCCAATCGCCGCACGACCTTCGTCTCCGACTAATCCAAGTGCCGCTCGCGTTTCCGGCCGCGCCGCTGCTGACACATATTCAGTCATCATGTTATATGTAATATATATTTTAATAGTTCATCGAACATTATTATTATACACGTCCTGCAGCTATATAGCTATAATATTATATTATAATAACTGCTGTCCACGTACCTATACTCATACGCATATAGTTATAGGTCATTAGAGCGGTTCGTACATTTTAAGATTGTTACTATTAGTAAAACCTTGTAAATAATTATAAGCTACGATTTATCTGAAAACAATTTGTAGTTGATTTATTTTATTGGTACTTTATTCTTATATATCCACTGCAGTTCATCCTGATATATTATTATTATTATTAAACTATTGACACAATATAATAATATATTGTAGCAGAAAATAAGAATATGCGGCTTTTGATATTGTTATAACACGTTGTAAGTACTAAGTAGTAATCAAAACCAACTATCAACACCCATTGATCAAATGGTAAATGTTATTTTGTGCACAAATACTGTATTCACAAAAATATGTGCCGTACATTCCACCTTATATGTATTACCATTTAAAAGTCTACTCCAATAAAATATATACCTTAGATTTTCTCCTAAAATAAAAATGAAAATAAAAGCTCACCGTAAACTATTTTCAAAAAACAACAGAAAGACATGAGAATATGTTTTCAACTGCATAGGTAAAAATAGTTATGTGATATTGGTATTACAGCCATAAGTGAATTAAGATATTTGAAAACAATAAATGTGTGTCAATATGGTATTTTTTTATAATATAACTATAACTGAGTTCATAAAAAATATTATTTTTTAAGTCTTGTATTTTCTTCCTATTAGCCTGCATATACAACCTCAACAACATATTTTTGCATGATTAATTACAAACTAACTCTCTTCTGAAAATGCACTGCTGGCAATCCAGGTATGTGAAAGTGATCAATACATTTTTAAAACAATAATATTTACAAATAATTTTTAGCTTGTCCAAAAACCAATTAAAAGCCATAATGTTACAAAATAAGTTATAGAATACAGAACATCAAACACAGATAGATGAATTACCCATATATGATTTAATTTTGTTCAAGATACAAGATACAACTTTATATGACTAATTATTATCCATAATCATAATCGTCCTATGTAAATTAAAAGTCAAATAGAAAGATATTTATATTTATAAACTTGGTGCAGAAACCTAATTAATCTCTAACAAAAAATAAAAAAGAAATAGGGTTAAAACAAAATAATTAAAAGACGTAAGTGTCATCAGTAGGTGGCTTTTTCATTCAAAATGTCATTCTTATTGTCATTAGCTCATACTCGTAAAGATTGTGTATACATTAATAAGGAAAAAAAATATTTATAAACAAAAATAAGGCAGTACAGCAAACATTTTTATTTTGTTGCAAATTGATTCAATTAAGTTTAAATACGAATAAAACATAAACATCAAAACAAGATTAGTGATAAAATCGTCAAAATTTGGCATATATGAATACGCCAAAAATTATCATAAGGCCTAAAATAATATAAAATGTGTATAAACATAAATTTAATACCTAAGCTACATGTAAAAAATTCAAGGGAAACAAAATAAATAAGTATAACATAACACCTACTTTCAACAAGTTTATGAAATTGTATCATACCTGGTAATATGTAGTCTAATAATAGTTGAATAATTATTTCACTGGACAAAATTGAACTACATTAAACAACCGGTCTACTGTCAATTAAATTTGGTAACGATGAAACATGGAGGGAAAAATTACCTTCGATATTTCTGTATAAATACCCCACAGTCGATGAGCATAATCACCAGTCACTTCTGTTCTGTTCATTTGATTAAATCAATTAATCCAAACAACACACCAAAAATGGCCGCTAAGGTAAGAAAATTATGAACAGTCTACACGTGTAAATTTGAAAATTTTCAATCGATTCGTCTGTGCAATCGCATCGGTATTATGATATTAGTTCGTAAGACTCATGTTCGTTATTCTTTTTTCAGATGATCATATTCGCTGCCTGTGTGGCCACCACACTCGCCCAATACGCCGCCCCGGCTTACCCATCCCATCACGCCGCACCCGCTTACTCGGCGCCCGCTTACTCCGCACCGAAGGCATACGCCCCGGAACCCACATACGCCCCAAAACCTTACAGCTTCGAATACAGCGTAAACGACCCACACACCTACGATGTGCACAGCCAATCTGAGCACAGCGACGGATACGGCAACGTCAAAGGAACTTACAGCCTTTTGGAAGCCGACGGTTCCACCCGCGTCGTCGACTACACCGCTGACTCTTACGGTTTCAACGCTGAAGTCAAGAAAATCGAAGGACACGGACAAGGATACAGCGCACCAGCCTACAAATCCGCCCCAGCCTACAAATCCGCCCCAGCCTACAAGCCCGCTTACTCCGCACCAGCTTACTCTGCACCAGCTTACTCCGCACCAGCTTACTCCGCACCAGCTTACTCCGCACCAGCCTACAAGCCCGCTTACTCCGCCCCAGCTTACGCTGCACCAGCTCACTCTTACTCCGCCCCAGCCTACGCTGCACCAGCTCACTCTTACTAAGCACCAGCCAACGCTAAACCATCAACATCTAACTATAAATGGTTACTTTAATCATTTTATTAGTTAATTTGACTCTCTCATCACCCGAACATGTTTAATTTATTCAATTGTTAAATTATTTGTCAAATAAATATTAAATTATTTATTTGATTTATATTACAAATCAGTTGTACTTTATTTTCACATTCCTATACCTCTGACGATAACCATCGTCGTATCGTCGTCATCTTAGACCGGGGACTGGAACTTTTACAATTTTGTTGGTTTCAGTTCATCGAAATGAATTTTTCTAAGATCTATATGTGTATTGATAATGTACCTATATACAAAAAATAATATGTGTTTATGTGTGTACGTTTTACTACACATATAGTGAATGCTTAAATGAATATCTAAATTTTATTGAAATGTAAATAATAATATCGAACTTGACTTGATGGTGGTCAGCTGTTGAAGAATGCTAACGTTCAAAAGCAGAGCGATAATTATTTAGAAAAACACTACCTATTATTGGTAAACAAGAAATATTTTACTACGAAATCTTAATTTCTTTCTCAAACAGCAACAATTGTCATAATTTTTCCTAAAAATACGTTACAACGATTTCCTAGATTTGCATACTAAGTAAATATGTTAATTTTTGAAATCGTGTGCGAGGAATTAATTTTGGCACATTTTTATAATTGAATTGATTTGTTTTATTATTTAAGTTATAACATAGACACGTATAATAAATGAAATATAACACTTACACGCGTTTAGTGGTTGAAGTGACTTAAAATAAGTCGAGGAATGTCTTACATAATTTATATAGTTCTCATGCATCGCTTAAACAGTAGTAAAGAATAAGAGGATTTATAGAAAATGAAACTTATAAAAGGTGGAGAGATACCCCCCACCCGCCACTTCGACTACTGCATGTGCGTTATTTGTTTATAATTTTTTTTGGTTAAAATTATACAAACGAGTTATGATATCAATAAGTTAATAACAATTCCATATCGAAAGTAATCTGCTTAAAATACCTTATTTTATTCATGGGATACTTTTGATTAAACATGATCAAACTATTTTGTGTCAGCCCAACTGTTAATATGTCGGTATCCAACTAATTTTTGTATTGAAAAAAATATACCCTCGCAATAATATCCACAATATTTTTCGATGCTAAAATATTATTATACTGTGTATATGTATAGCCATGAGTGCTGTAATTGTAATCATATTTTAATTATATACTTCTGAAATTCAGTATTCAGTATACTATGATATACTTAGACATGTATAATTCGATGAATGCATTTTACGAATGCCTATAACGTGTAACTGTAGGACTTGACAAAAGCAAAATCTTTTGAATTTGAAACGTAATAATTTTTTCAAACCTGACAAGTATATTTCTTAAATTATTAAGTATCCATATAATTTTCATAATTTGTGTCATGCGTTTAACAATAAAATTATCAATTTTTTATATTTATTTGTGAGGTATTTCTGTTACACTCTGTATAGCTCTTGAACTCAGATAACTATCTAATTTATGTTTTGGTACTTTATTGTGATGAAAAATAATGTTCAACCTAGCTCCCATGTCGGCCACTATATAAGTAATGCTTTCATATTATGTGGACGTGCAATGAGCTGTATTATTCGTTAGGGGTCGTGTGTACATTAAATATGTCCATGGCCGTATGCTTATTCGAAAACAAAAAAAAAAGATAGCCGATAGGTTTATTATGAATTTCGGTAATAGAGTTTTATAAAAACAACTATAAGTGATCAAAAAATGTGTGCTTTGTTTAAACAAAAATACTTTTCTTGTAGGTACCTACAATATATTTTTGAAAATATTAGATATGGTTAGTTTTCATCTTTATGGATGTTTTTTTTTTCGTATTCATCATACAGATGATGTTATTTCAATTATGATTTATTATTGCTGTATTCGAATTTTTATGGTCACATTACTATTAATTTGATTTTTTTTTTTTATACTTTTATAAACAAAACATTCATGTATCTTTTATTCTCGTGTTATTTTTTTTACATTTGTTGGACTAAATTTTGTTTGTATATTTCAATTTCTTCATGTAGGTTTCTTAGTGTAGGTATCATGATTTAGATTTTTCAAGTTTCAACCAAAACACCGAAAACAGGTAAAAGGATGCCGCTCTGCTGTACATTGGGTGTAGAAGTAGTCTAGACTCTAGAAGGTCGCTGTAATGGCTGGTACTAAATTTTTGAATTCAATAAATAATATCATTGTATACGAAAAATGATTCTAAACGGAGACTGTATGTCAGTCAAAAATATTTTATATTGTTATTATTTATAATTTATACAGGTGGAAAGACGAATTAATATTATTCTTAAATTATCAGTGATGCGGGAAAAATATTATATTTACTTAAGTAAAATTGGTCTGTTTCGGAACAAAATTTAAAAAAATACCAAAAATCGTTATTCTTTGTGTTAATATGTAATTTCGTATAAATTTGAATTTAAAATAACTATAAAAAAGCTGTGTTTATGTTTATTTTTAGATTTTTTGGTTAGAGAATAAAATACTTGTTAAATTTTTTTTTAATTTTCAAGGTTGGTTTAACATTTTTAACCCTTAGTTTAAAATTGAAACAACATTTTACCTATAAAATTATTCGTACATTTTGATGATAAAAATACTGTCAACATTTTAACTTTAAATATTTATAATAAAAACCTTGACAATGTATTTTTAATAGTTTTCAACTGCAATTGTAACAATATATCAAGAGTCTTGAATTAAATGTCCATGCTTTTTGATCCAACCACTAATATTTTATTGACATTTAGAGAAAAAAAATAAAAAATAAAATGAAAATTGAAAATGTCCTTCAACAGCTAAAAAATGTCAAATTATTTTTTAATTTCATCAAGTATATGAAATGATGGAATAAACATATGGTGTGAATTTCAAGAGTAGAAAATAATTCGTTTTTGAATTAAAACAAAATAAGAAAATCGATACTTGAGAAATCCAGTGAACATACAATGTTGTAAAAATTTCAACTTTAAAAGCTCATAAAAATTTAATTTGACTTTCTGGTAGAAAATAGTAAATCGTAGTTGTAAAAAGAAAAATATTTATGAATATTTAACTCAATATAATCTACTAACTTTCGTGGTTTTTACGAATTTTGTCAAAATTCTTAATTCAAACGCCCATAAAAAAATAATTGTGGATTTAAGTTCAATTTTTTTTGTAATTTCCACTAACAACGACTTACGAGACACTTTGTATTACATTTTCAAGTTTCTTGAGTAGCAAAAATTTTTTATCGACATTAGTAAAAAAAACGAAAAGTATCGAAAATGTCATATGCTTACGAATAGTTTAACAAGAGTCGAAATATTTTGGAAAATTGTATGGTGTATAGAAAATGCTAACACAAATATTCAGTGAACATTTTATGTATCTGTGGTCATTTTTTTTAGAGTTACACCAAAAACCAAAATTGATCTTGTCGAAAACTGGTTTGAATGAAAATTTCCGTTTTTCTTTAATTTTTTGTTCGTTATTCCTGTTGTTTTTAAAAACTATTAGTAATTTTAAATTCTGGCCTAACCAACGCACCAACTACATTCACTTTATTACCAGAAAAGTTGCTGTTAAGAAAATCGAAGCACTTTTAACGCCCCAAACCATGATGACTAACACAAAAATTAAAAAACACACATCATTGTAAAATCAATACATTCATCGCTCCGCTTAGAATCTAATATTAAAATCAAGGTCATAATATTATTAAATAACCTACATAACCTACCAATTATTTTTTTGTACATTTATACCTACCTATATAGTATATATATTTTGTTTGGTTTTAGATAGTAAAATAAAATAAAACTTGATTGTAATTCAAAAAATGAATTTGATTGATTTATTTTTAATCTGTTTATTTTATACATTCCATGATTAACCATTATAATAAAATACTATTCTAAGACACAAACAAAATGTAACAAATATAAAAGAAGATAAGTATTTATATCAAAAGCTTCCTTAAACATTAAAAAATATAATTTATTCTTCAATTTCATATCATTTAATTTGTTGTGTTTCACTTACACTTTTAAATAACACATACCTGTATATTTATGAATTATCGATTGTAACCACCCATACTTAAGTAGGTAACTGTACCACTGACGTATTTTCCATTCGTGACAAGTTCACTTTTATTACGCAAGTATATAATTGCGTAAATACATAAAAATTAAAAAATGATTAAATAATAAATATCATACTTGCAGGTGTTATTTTGGTCAAAGGTAAATTGCACTCGGCCAAGGGAAAAATTGTAAATACATTTTATACACAATAAAAAACCAATAAATTTCATACATACATTTACACCTAGTGAGTTGAACTCAATACATCTCTTGCATGCATTTCAGTAGGTATATTATTTTTATAATTAGATACATTAATTTTTAAATATATATTTCATGGTTGTGATTTACATTTTTTCAGTCATATAATTGTTTTCTGCCATCGTTTTCAAAAATGCTTAACACCTTTTTACACTCAAACGTTACATTGTTTCAACTGTATCCTGTATAATTTTGATAATTTATCATTTTCGTATAACTTTATTTTTTTTCTGGCTAAACCCAGTAAATAAGTCCACGTTAAGTTCTAGGACTCTGTTCTTTAGCCTGTAATAACTGTAACCTAACCTGACCTACCAATAAATGAACTGCAGGATTTAAAATACACATCAAAGAATTCAAGGTCATTTAGGTATTATGAGCATGATTTACTGTATCCATTTTAGAAATCGAAAAATACAGGGAGTAGTTTACAATCGCCTATCATTTTTTTATTTGTTGACAATCAAAAACAGCATCAATAAAATTGTATCAGAATCCGTTTAAATAAAACATAACAAAAATAAATCTACAACTATTCAAAAGGACATAATTTGGCATTCTATGACTAACTGTGATACACCGGAATTATATATATAATATTAAAATTATTAAAACAATTGTATGATAAAAATGTTTTCAAAAAAAAAAAAATATCTTACTTAATTACTGGTAAAATAAACTACTTTAATCTACTTTACGTCCACCACCTCAAAGACGACTAAAACGCGGTCGCCCGCACGATCTTATTCG